CCCCCCCAAAAAAAAAAGAACACCAGGGCGCCGTCTACAGATTCATGTAGGACCCAATTGCAGTCAATACAGTTTGTAAGGCATGCCCGAAGAAGTCTTCAGTTCAATACCCATTGACCTAATGTATCTTACTGGGAAAGTTTGGCGCCTGCTGCCTAGAGATAGCTCGTTGCTCCCCCCAAGCCACAATGAGCAGTGACTGCTAACCAATCCAATGTGTCGGAACTCTATGTGATCGAGAGAGTGAGGTAGCGGGCGCGGGGGAAGGGGGAGGGGGGGGCAGAGGCTGGAAGGGTTGATGTTCACAAAACGTGGACAAGAAGGGGTAGTAGGCGGTATCCTGCTCAACATCCTTTTAACTTACAGACGCAGATATTTTTTGCCTTTATAAGTAACAAGCCGCAATCAAAACCATAAATATAGAGTTACACCCAATAAATGATAAAATTAATGACGTCAGTAGGTGCCTACATGTAATCTCGGAGTCAGTGTGTTGCAGCACAAAAGTATATGACCTACTGACCCGTCCAATATAACTCTCTCTCAAAATGAGGAAAGGGGTAGAGAGGAAGGAGGGTGGAGTAGGGGAATGTGACACATAGGTCGGTAGATGCCTACATTTATAGACAGAATCAATATGTTTGAGTACAAAGAGTAGGCACCTACTGACCAGTCCAATATTACTCGACTCAACATGAGAAAAATTGTAGAGAGAGGAAAGGAAGAATAGGGGAGGGAATGTTGTACATCGGGATATGGCTAGTACATAACACTATTGTTTTGATATACAATTTGTTTTTTTCTTTTTTTTGACTCACAAGTGTGCAACGCGATGAAAGTTGAGGCTAGTTGAAATCATGTTGAAATTGGTTGAAACTAGTTGAAACATGTTGGAACGTGTTGATAAACATTTAAAAATTCTCCCCAATCATTTTAAGCCCACTGTAAGTTGTTTGTAACCACATGAAAACGTGCTCCCTGATTATCGACGATTATCGCAAATTAAAAACCCGGTCATCTCGCCAACTTTTTTTTTGTTGCCCGACCCCAGAGGGTGTCAAGGCGGCCCCCCCAATGCACCACTGGAATGCCTTCCTCCCTCGACAAACCCCAGATCTCTCTACAAGGCCTCACGCTCCTACTGTAGCAGGTTACAGGGTAACGCCCCAACTCCGGCCAACGTCGTTCTGGCATCGGCAAGTTAAGAGCATAGAACAGAGCAACCATACTGATGCCAGTCCAGGTGTAACCATCCCTGAAATCGAAGATCCTAACGAAGAAGAAAGTCAGATGTTGCTCTAACTCTCAGAACCCCGGAAAGTTGAATGTAACATGTAGTCACTTCACAGAGAAAAAAATTCCCCTATGCCACCACCCCTGTCCCACGCTGCCTCCGCCGAGGAGATTCACCTCGGCCCCAACGTGGAAAAGATCCCCTCCCTCCCCCCTCTGCCAAGACAGCCAATTCCCGCCTAGAGGTTGCCTTCGCCCTCCCCGTTGTCCCTATCTGCCCCCGCCGGGCTTGAAGGCGACCAACTCTACCA